GCTTCATTATTTTTGTGCTCTTGGAAAATGCTTTACTTATTAAATTGTCTAGACTCTTTGGTAAAAAATCTAAAATTATCAAAAATTCGAAAAAATTCAAAAATCCGAATTTCTTAAAATTCAACATTTTTTCTTCTCTTTTATGGGATTTAGCTTCATTATTTTTGTGCTCTTGGAAAATGCTTTACTTATTAAATTGTCTCGACTCTTTGGTAAAAAATCTAAAATTATCGAAAATTATCAAAAATTCAAAAATCCGAATTTCTTAAAATTCAACATTTTTTCCTCTCTTTTATGGGATTTAGCTTCATTATTTTTGTGCTCTTGGAAAATGCTTTACTTATTAAATTGTCTCGACTCTTTGGTAAAAAATCTAAAATTATCGAAAATTATCAAAAATTCAAAAATCCGAATTTCTTAAAATTCAACATTTTTTCTTCTCTTTTATGGGATTTAGCTTCATTATTTTTGTGCTCTTGGAAAATGCTTTACTTATTAAATTGTCTCGACTCTTTGGTAAAAAATCTAAAATTATCGAAAATTATCAAAAATTCAAAAATCCGAATTTCTTAAAATTTAACATTTTTTCCTCTCTTTTATGGGATTTAGCTTCATTATTTTTGTGCTCTTGGAAAATGCTTTACTTATTAAATTGTCTCGACTCTTTGGTAAAAAATCTAAAATTATCAAAAATTCGAAAAAATTCAAAAATCCGAATTTCTTAAAATTCAACATTTTTTCCTCTCTTTTATGGGATTTAGCTTTATTATTTTTGTGCTCTTGGAAAATGCTTTACTTATTAAATTGTCTCTACTCTTTGGTAAAAAATCTAAAATTATCAAAAATTCGAAAAAATTCAAAAATCCGAATTTCTTAAAATTCAACATTTTTTCCTCTCTTTTATGGGATTTAGCTTCATTATTTTTGTGCTCTTGGAAAATGCTTTACTTATTAAATTGTCTCGACTCTTTGGTAAAAAATCTAAAATTATCGAAAATTATCAAAAATTCAAAAATCCGAATTTCTTAAAATTCAACATTTTTTCCTCTTTTTTATGGGATTTAGCTTCATTATTTTTGTGCTCTTGGAAAATGCTTTACTTATTAAATTGTCTAGACTCTTTGGTAAAAAATCTAAAATTATCAAAAATTCGAAAAAATTCAAAAATCCGAATTTCTTAAAATTCAACATTTTTTCTTCTCTTTTATGGGATTTAGCTTCATTATTTTTGTGCTCTTGGAAAATGCTTTACTTATTAAATTGTCTCGACTCTTTGGTAAAAAATCTAAAATTATCGAAAATTATCAAAAATTCAAAAATCCGAATTTCTTAAAATTCAACATTTTTTCCTCTCTTTTATGGGATTTAGCTTCATTATTTTTGTGCTCTTGGAAAATGCTTTACTTATTAAATTGTCTCGACTCTTTGGTAAAAAATCTAAAATTATCGAAAATTATCAAAAATTCAAAAATCCGAATTTCTTAAAATTCAACATTTTTTCCTCTCTTTTATGGGATTTAGCTTCATTATTTTTGTGCTCTTAAAAAATGCTTTACTTATTAAATTGTCTAGACTCTTTGGTAAAAAATCTAAAATTATCAAAAATTCGAAAAAATTCAAAAATCCGAATTTCTTAAAATTCAACATTTTTTCCTCTCTTTTATGGGATTTAGCTTCATTATTTTTGTGCTCTTGGAAAATGCTTTACTTATTAAATTGTCTCGACTCTTTGGTAAAAAATCTAAAATTATCAAAAATTCGAAAAAATTCAAAAATCCGAATTTCTTAAAATTCAACATTTTTTCCTCTCTTTTATGGGATTTAGCTTCATTATTTTTGTGCTCTTGGAAAATACTTTACTTATTAAATTGTCTCGACTCTTTGGTAAAAAATCTAAAATTATCAAAAATTCGAAAAAATTCAAAAATCCGAATTTCTTAAAATTCAACATTTTTTCCTCTCTTTTATGGGATTTAGCTTCATTATTTTTGTGCTCTTGGAAAATACTTTACTTATTTAATAGCCTCGACTCTTTGGTAAAAAATCTAAAATTATCGAAAATTATCAAAAATTCAAAAATCCGAATTTCTTAAAATTCAACATTTTTTCCTCTCTTTTATGGGATTTAGCTTTATTATTATTTGAATTTCTATTCAAGAGGAAAAATGGAAAACTGAAAAATTTAGAAACTTTTAAAAATTTCAGGCCGTTTCCATGATTTTCCTGATTTCCAGATTCTGTAGGAACCCTTCTTTTGTCTGACTTTCTTCTAAATTATCGAATTCAGTGATTTCTGGGGTGAATTTGGTTAAGTTGTAAAATGATTAATTTCTATTTGAATTCGTTTTTTTTTTGAATGTAGAAAATCTGATGTTAATTTAATTCTTTTTTCGTTATGCACGGCAAAAAATATTTAGCTGGATAAACTACAGATTTCACTTTAGTAGCGAAATTTTTCAGTGCTTAAAATAATACTTTCGTTATTCTAGAGAAACTTATCGCTATTTCAAGTAAAACTTTTTTCAGTATGTAATAATTATTATTTCTTAAAAAAGTATTTAAATTAAAATGGGTTTATAAAATAAGCAATGCAAAAGATGACCCAGATACTAATTGGAATTGTTCTATCCATAGTTTAAGTCTAGTAATGTAAATTCTATTTAAATTGAGACCATTGAGTGAAATTATTTGAATTTTAGTGAGTTAAATCTCTTTGTTAGGTAATAATAATTATTTCTTTAAAATTTTTTAAATTGTTTAAAATAAGCAGTTCCATACAACATTCCCGCGCGCTTGCGCGCGGATAGTGTGGCTATAGTACAGAATAAATCATGGATTAATCATTTGTAAATTTGTCATATTATTCCATAATGTGGAATAAATAAATTATTAATAATTTATTATTATTAATTTCAACGTTATTTATTACTATTAATTATTTTATGATTAAAAAATATATAAAAATTATTGTTTTTCTGCGTGTAAATAAACATTATAATCTTAACGAGTCTCTGACTCTTGTACTCGAACGGTTTCATCTCTTTTGTGAGAGAGTTTTTCGCCATCTAACGGAGGAGCATAAAATTAAGTCGAATGGCGCGAAATTCAAATTCAACGAAATACGAAAGTGACATAATCGCAAGTAAAACTAACTCGGGGTAACGTTGGCTTTTCCATCAAGATACTGGTTTAAAATTTAAAACAGAAAATTCTCTAGTAAACAATAAGTGTTAGAAAGCCCAGAAGAAAATTTTTATTCTGTTGGAGCTAAATTCTCCATTCTATCCCATGGTTCAAAATGCTTCACTGTAAAAAGTTGGTTATCAATTTAGAACCGATTTTGGGTATTAAATCTTGGTTCCACTTTAGCAGTGGAACTTCCACTGAAGTCAGCTTCAATTTGGCACTTTTTTTTTAGTGTTTATTAATGAAGTTCTAAATAACTTTAATAAGGACTTGACCAGTTTTCCTAGATTCTGACAGGGTTTTAACAAAAGAAAGTGCTTCACAAACAATTAAATTGGAGAAAAAAGAAGAAAGAAACGTAATTTTAATAGAGCACTCGAAACACGTAAATAAAAACGAAAAGGGTGCAGTAAAATCGAGAAAGACTCTATTAGGAGCAGCCCTGACTGAATAATTAATTGTAAAGTCGAACGAACTTGCGACTCCTGAAGTGCCGGCGTGAATTGAATTTGCAAAAGGTGGATTGGGAGAAAATTCATTTCCGGCTGAATCGAACGGGTTACACGCAGTGTGAGACGGTGAACTTACCCTCTGCCTCGGGCTTGCAACATCCGCCGCCATGTTGAATTCTCATCCACCCTGGAGTGCAACCCCGCGTGTGGTTTTCTCGTAATCGCTACCAGGGGTTGTTCAGCGCCCACCCCCGCTTCAAAATATGGGGAAGGCCACGCCCTCGACGTCCTCCGACGAGCCAATGACGTCCGAACATCGCGACACTACCGTCCACCAATAGGATTACCCTCTGATACGGTCTTTCGCTTGTCACTGACTGCACACGCTCACGCTGATACCTTTCAATTTCGAACTCTCCCCTCTACACCCCCATTAAGTTCAGAAACAGAGATATTCGCACACAGACACACACCAACGAATTCTATTTTCAATCGTCCTTATCTATACGTATACAACATATAAACGCCGAGATTTTCCAGTGTATTCGTGTCTTTTGCGAAACATTATTCTGTTTGAGTCTGTTGTTGTAAATGGCCACACAACGTTCACTATTATAGCTCATTTAACCAAGTATTGGAATTCGAAAGCTTTCGCTCTTAACTTATGCATCAGCGAACTGATCGTTTAGTTTCCCCCCGACTAATTAACAGAACGATTATTGCACCTGACATTTACGTTTTATGCTTTATGCGGATAACGGATATTCCTTTTTCAATTTCAAATTGTTGCGGCTTTGTTTTCTCTAATTTTATACAGTAAGATTATATTGCAGATGACATTTACGTTTTATGTTATCCCTTTTCAATTTGAATACTCTTATACAATATAATATTATAGAGGTTCATTTTCATTAAGGTTCGTTTTATAACACTCTGTTCTGTCCTACACACTGACTTTTTGTTTAAAAATTCAATGATTTATTTCAAACAAGGAAAAACGATGTTTTTAGGTTACTTAATCGTATATGAACATATCAGCTATTAATATGCTTCATACTAAAGATTGGTACGGATCATACTAATTTTTAGTATTATTTTCTCAAAAGTTGATACGTTCGTACGATTAAATAACCTAAAAACATCGCTTTCTCCTGCTTGAAATGAATCATATTAAATTTTAAAACAAAAAGTCTTTCAGTGCAACAGAAAAACTGCACGGTAAGTGACATATTGTCACTTAGATAAGTCACTAATTTTAGATATTGTTCTAAATATTTTTTAAAAGCCTAATCAGCATCAGATGCATTGTCGTAAAGGGTTAAAATACTTAGAAATAGTTCAAATTAAATAGAAATTACTAACCTTTCTTTTATAATCCTATATCATAAGCAGAGCGAGTCGGGGTAAAAGCTCCAAATACCGAGGAAGAAAAATATTGCTGGAAGAAACAGAGAAATCTTTTGGACTTTTACAGGTACAGCAATGAGTATAATTAAGAAATCGAGATTGTTCCCATAAATAATACTTAACTTTGGGTTAAGCTCCATCTGAACCATAACAGGACTCAAAAAAACTGCGGAGAGATCTATACCTGAAATGCAGCACTGTTAACTTAATAGTATTAAATTTCAACAAATTAATACCAAAAATGATGGATCAAATAAAAAATTGATCCAAATTTTTGGCATCAATTTGGTACTTTCAAGAAAACTGAGAGTTCAAACAAAATGAATTTAGAAATTTTCGAAAATTGAGCTAAGATGTTTTAAGAATTAAAAAAACGCTTAGTTAAAACAAGAACTTGACTAATCAAGATTTAAATTCTTATATAAGCCATCATCGAAAAGAAATTAACATAATAATAGTAATACTTATCTTCAAATTCTTTTTCACCATGATCCAAGAGATTCGACTAAACTGTATAAAATCAGAAAGACATATGTGTACACAAACACCCATTTGACGGTAAATGTTTAAAAATAATTAATAAAAAAATATCAACTTAATCGACTATTTGTAAGACTGGTGGGGACTACATCAAAATTATATTAATTTAAGAGCGCTGGAATGAGAATAAGTTAACGTATATAGGCAGAGGGTTAAAAGCAATGTATCAGAACTCAAATAAAAATTTAAAACCAAATAGCAATATTCTAAACTACGTCACATTATAATAAAGGTGGGTGGGAAGGGGTTCGACCTTCTGGGGTAAAATATGTCCTCACATATAATATTCTCGGGGAGAAGGTTTCTGGATGCACCAAAAAAGAGCCAAAGTTGGGTGACTCATTTCATAAAGGACCCTTTCATGTTATGTTAATACAAGTTTACACAAACTAAGAGTGTAGATATTAATTTATTTAATTATTATTATATTGATGAAAGGAAATATTATAGTGAATTGTGGAGATTATAATGACTCACCGAATCAGCAACTCCCGCGTCGAAATCGATGAAGAGCTATGAAGGCAGCATTGCTCAAAGATCCACCTCCTTTGCAGTCAAGCAACGAAGACATCATAAAGTCCTTGAATACCATCAAACGAACCCGAATAGAGCAGAATGATAATCTCCAAGCCATCTGTCCCTGGCGATCCCTCCTCTAGGTTAGAATCCAAATTGGAATTTGGAAAATAACCATTTACAAGGAGACCTGGTTCAGATGGCTCGGTTTCCAGATCCTAGTTTGCCTCATGCTCCAGGCTGATAATGAAGATGCGGCTAAAAAAGGAAAAATACTAAATAATTCTGGGAAAATTAAAAAAAATACCTAATATTAAATGAGTTATTTTTTTCAATTTAGTATAAAGCTATGCATAAGCCAAGTTTTCTTGAAAACTTGCAGGAAACTTTAAGTGAACTTGCAAAATTTGTGCAAACTTACTACAAGTAGAAAAATGTCCTTAAAATTTCCAGCATATTTCCATGCAGGGTTGCCACGCTTTTGCTCTTTTCAAATTCCCTGACTTTTTCATGTATTTTAAAAACGAAAATTATTCAAAAACATCAATAACTTCAATTTTAAATAAATATTTAGTCATTATTTTTTTATAGAAATTAAGATATTCAAAAATTTGAAATTCAATAACAAGAATATTATTATAAAACATGAAGATATCGATCACTCCGAGTCTTCACTTTCTTCATATGTTTTATAATAATTAAAACTTGCTACTTTGTTACCGTAACTTCTTAAAAAATTATTTTCATCATTACGATTATTCATTTCTAGAATTTTCAACTAAAATTCTTCAATTTATTTAAAATAATTTTTGAAAAAGTTCTTTGTGAATTTTCAAATTCATTTGTTTACAATTTAATTTTACGAAATTGCGATTATTCTGAAATTCTTCAATTAAATATATTAGAAATTAAAAACTTCAAATAATTAAAAAAAATTCCATTAAACTTATTGAGAAAAATTGATTCTATAAAATTTTTAATTAAAAATATGAAAAGTTCGGGGTCGTTCACAAACTACGTCACGCTTTTTCGGACTGATTTTTACCACCTCCCCCCCCCCCCCTCTTCGTCACATTTTTTACATACAAAAAATTTTTTTTCCACACTTCGCCATACACAACTTGACACCCCCCCCCCCCACCCCTAGAAGTGTGACGTAGTTTATGAACGACCCCTTCAAACTTTCAAAGATTTTTATTTAAAATTCATTTTTAAATCAATATACCTATTTATTAGAAAATTCTACGAGAATTCAATTATTTAAATATAAAAATAAATATTTTATAAAACAATTGAATTTTCATAAAGAATTTTATCAAAAAATTTTCAAATAATTGAATTCTCTTGACAAATTTTAATAAAAGTTTTAAGAATAATTGCATTTTTCGAGAAATTTGATGAAAATTGTATTAAAAATATTTGAAATTCTGACAAGAATTTTATTAAAAGTTTTGAAACTAATTGGATTTCGGAGAAAATTTTTATTATTTATAAAGATAATTGAAATTTTGCAAATTTTTAAATATAATTGAATTACATAAAACATAAAACAAATTAACATAAAATTGTTACGCAAAGAATTCCATTAAAATTTTTGAAAATAATTTTACTTTTTAAAAAAATTTAATTAAAAATTTATTGAAAATAATACTTAAATTCTAATAAATAAATTGTAGCAAAGGTTATTAAAATAATTAAATTTCTTTGATAAATTTTAATAACATTTTTAAGAATAATAACTTTTTTCGAGGAATTCCATTAAAATTGTTTTAAAAATAATTGAAATTCAGCATTGAGTTTTATTATTCATGAAAATAATTGAATCCCTATATAAAAAATGTTATTATTCACGAAAATAATTGAATAATTTATGAAAATAATTTGTAAATAATTGAATTCCTGTGAAATTTTTATTATTTATGAAAATAAATAAATGTTTGAATAGAATTTTATTAAAATTTTTTTGTAACTAATTGAATTCTTTTAGGAATTTTTATTAAAGTAGTAGATATTAAAAATCATTGAATTAAGGAAAGTTTTTGAAAATAATTAAAATTTTGTCAAGAATTTTATTAAAATTTTTGAAAATAATTGAATTTTTTCAATCATTTGTAATTGCTTCAAAATTCAATTTATTTTAGGGTTTTTAACTATAATTCTTCTATAAATCTATTATTTTTAATAAAACTATAGTTAAATATATATATTAAAAAATTTAACTAATTTCAGAAGATTTTTTGTTTTAAAAACTTTGTTTAAATCTAAGTTTTTTTATATTTCTAATTAAATTCATTGAAAATTGAAATTTTACAAAATTTTAAATCAAAATCTTTTAAAGTTCATCTACTTATGAAAAAATTGTAAACGCAATTCTTTTAAAATTGAATTAATTTTCAAATATTTAACTGAAATTAGCCAGTTGTCGGTAAAGTCAAAAGTTGCTTGATCAAATGTTATGTAAAAAAATATGTAACTAAACTTAAAATTTTGAACTATTATATTATTCATTAAAATAACAGTAATAGTAATAATAAAAATAAGAATAATAAAATAATAATAATAACAAAAATAATAATCATAATAATGATAATATTAATATTCGTATTGTTTTATTACTAATAATATTGTTAATTGTATTATTTTTAATACCTATCATTATTATTAATAGTAGATATTATTAAAAAAATGAGGTAATTATTTAAAACGGCACTTTATTACAAAGTTGAAAAATAATGTACATTTATTAATTCTGTAACTTTCTTTTATAAAATACAATTTTTATAAATGTAAAGTAGTTAAATATGGTAAAAAAGAAATCGTTACACTATTGGAAGTGAAAATTTTACAAAATGTATAATAGAAAAATTTATGTATTCAATGAGTCAATGCATTAAATACTTATTGAATATCTCATTGATTATTTTCCATCGACGCATATATTATAACAATTATTATTAATCTAATCTAGGCAGTGCTTGAAGCTTACTACTTAATTCTTATAATATTGCAAATATAAACTTCACACTAATTGTGAAGTAATTTTTAGTTCAAAAAAACTAATTTACAATCTAATGAGATTTCTATTCCTTTTTCTTTTTCTTTTAATGATAATTCCGAGTTTTTTCGGATAAGCTCGAAATATATTGTGATTTAATATTGAGTCTTACAGCAAAATAAGGCACTGGCTGTATTGTAGAAAAACTCTTATTCAATATTCTTTTATATTCTGAACGTAGAAAAAATAATATCAACAAAATTCAACAAATTAATTAAATAATTGTTATGATACATTTTGATTTTTAAATATATTGTATTAATTATTTAATTAATTAATTCAGAAAATACAATGATTAGTCCCTAAAGTTTTAAACGTTCAAATGAACAAAATTGATATTTATTTCTTTTTCAAATTCAAATTTTGTTGTAATAATATTGAACCATGTATTGAAAAATAATTTATTTCAAAATATTTAATTTTATTCGAGTAACTTTCGAAAATATTTCGTTCATTTGAGCATTCAAAATTTTGTGAACTTATAATGGCGAATATTTTCAGGTGAACAGTAAATGATGTGAAATGGTACTTTTATTACAAAGTATAAAAAAATGAAACGAAATATGTATAGTACCTTCGATAACAAAAATGCGAAAAAACTAAATGACAAGATTACAATTCTGTCTTAGAAACAATTTGAGAAATTCACTTTAAAAAAATTGTAGTAAAAGTTATTTTCTTTTCTCAGTACAAATAATTGTAATTTCAAGTCTCGAAAGACTAATTTGGTGTAATGTATAAGAAAACCGAATTTGGACGGGAGGCTTTCTAAAATTAGAGCCACTTTCAGTCTTCGGTCATTGTAAGACAAAATTATAAGGGCACTTATTAAGTCTCAATTAAAAAATATAATCTTTCTCTACCTCTTAAGTCTGTCTCTTAAAATTTTAAAGATAAAATCTTTCCTAAAATGATTTTTCGAAAATGTCGTGAGTAACTGCGTCAAACATTAAATATACTTTGGCATTGTACCTTTGTTCTAATATTTTTCTAGTTAAAATTTTTTTATCTTTCTTCTTTACTTCCATGGCATATTTTTTTTTTTCTAAGGCCATAATAATTCAATATTAGGAGACTGAAGTTCTTCAAAGATTTTGTACATCGAGTAAACGCAGAGCCAACAGTAAATCTGTAAATGAAAAGAAAATTTTTGTTAATTGGAAAAAAATAAAAGCAAAACATAAGTAAAACAAAAGAAATTTTCTTTTGCTTTATTTCTATGCTTTATTTAAAAAAAATGAAACAAAACAAAAAAGCAAAACGAAAAAACAAATAGGAATATAAATTATATAGAAAATATTTTCTGTCTAAAATTTCTTACATTATAACCCATCCACAGCCAATTCCACAGTGCAGGAAGTACGGAGTCGAGCTGTAAAAAATATAATTGCAAGTATTTTTTTAAATAAAGGAAAAAAATTATTATATTTATTGGAAATTTACTCATGGAATTTTTTTTTTATAATTTTCCTATGAAATTTTGTCCCTACAATTTGTTTCGTTAATTTTTTCATCAAATTTTTTCTACACATTATTTTTGTTTTTTTCTTGTGAAATTTTTTCTACATAATTTTGTTTGTTAAATTTTCTCATATTTTTTCTACATAATTTTTTTTGTAAATTTTCTCATGAAATATTTCCTACAAAAATTTTTTCTTATGAATTCTTTTCTCTCACGAAATTTTTTCATGAAATTTGCTTTAGAAAATTTGTCTGCTAAGCAACATTAAAAAGAAAAATTTGCAAACAGACTTTTTTTGTACTGTTTTTCGTGTGAAAATTATTTTTCTTTTCCTTGCAATCCAGAAATTTTTAACAAAAATTTCTAATACTTTTAACTGATTCCCAATTTAATTATTAAAGAAATAAAAGAAATTATCGAATAAATTATTAAATAGAGGAGAAAATATACGAAGAAAACCTAATAAATAAATTATTAATGAAAGAAAAAAAAATACTTACATAAATGTAATAACCATAAAGTAACCATATACCAAACACTAGTTGGAATAGGATGACGATGAACATTAAAATGAGCCATGGAAGTAGATAGCCTCTTACACTTTCTCTCAGTCCGTAAAATATCAGTCCAGAGGAAGTAATAAGTAAAAAGAAATATACAATGAATAATGATCCGTATACTTTCATAGCTGAAAGAAATAATAAATTTAAAGATCGAGTGGAGAAATAATTATTAATAATTTTAATTGAATTAGAAAAATATTACTATTATTGATATTACTGTTTTTATATACATAATAATATTAACTATCATTATAATTACAAATTTTATAATAATAATAATAATTATTATTTTGTTAAAAGTCAGTTTTTGGATCATAATATAATTTGTGTTTTGAGGTTTAGGCCAAAATTTTTTTTTTTTTTTTTTGGCCTTAACCTCAAAACACAAATTATTATTATATTATTATTATAAAAAATATTTTCACGACTTACAACTTCTTACATCAGCTTCAAAAAGAGGATTATAAAGTTGTGCTGAATCTCCTCCTCTTAATTGATATATTATTAGGGTTATTAATATTATACAAACAGCCTGAAACATAAAAATGAAAATTTAATTTAAAAATTAATTTCAAATTGAAAATCGTACATTTCTAATTAAAATGAATAAAAAAAAATATCTATATAAAAATTTAAAGCTTCAAATAAAATTTTTTTTATTATTCCAGCTGAAATAAAAAAATAAAAAATTTTAATAAATGAATTAAATATTTACAGTATTATTTGTATTTCAATGAGAAATAAAAAAATAAATTTAACATTTATTTTATTCTAAATAAATAAATAAATAAAAATGTTTATTCAGTAAATAAATAATGTTTGAATGTGCAAATTAATATTTTGTGCCAAAATTCAAAACCAATAACAGAAAAAAGTCGTTTAGTTGAATGTTTAAAACTTTAGAAACATCAAATTTTTATAACAGAATTTAAACAATTTATATTTTAAAAATGTGTGTCTGTAAAGAATTCTAAAATTATATTCAAAAACTGTAGTGTTCAATTATGTGATCGTGAGAAAGTTTGAATTTTTAATAATGAAAAAAATACAAATAAAAAAACAAACTTTTAACCAAACAAACCAAATCATAACAGATTTTCGAATTAATAGAAGAATTGAGAATGGAAATAAAAATTAGAAATGTAAAATTATCAATATAAGATGTGATACACTTTGAAAAGTATGCGTGCGTTAATTAAAGAAATATTAATAAGATTAGTGTGTGTGATAAAAATAAAATAAAGTATACTTACGATTGTATAAAATGCAACGACTCTACAGCCATTTTTCACTCCATTTGTCCAAATGCACGGTGTCCAAAATGACTGGAGAATTGCCATTTTTTTGGGTAATTTTTCTATGTCAATAAATTTATTTTTTTTGGAGTAAAAACGTTGTCAACAAGTGATGACTTAACCTTAATTTCTCACGCACACTCGGTTAAAAATTTGGGCGTCGTCTCCGGGAACAAACAACATAACTTGGTGTACGCGTCACACCTATGGATAATACGATGAGGCATTTCAAATGGGAAGGGGAACGCTGGGGATAGTAACGGTAACTACTGCCACCTTGGTACTATTTACTGTGCTTGATAGATAACTCCAGTACTCTCTGGGTAATACATTTTTTTTTTGGAGAAAAAAAAAATTATTTTTAACAACAGTGGATCAAAGAGATTTTTTTTATAGAAAACCATAAAATTGTAGCACAAATTTCGTGGCGAATAATATTTAAATATTATTTAATAGAAATGTACTATTTACATTATTACAATAACAAATTTTGAATATTTAATAAAAACAAAATATTATATTATTATTTAAATTACAATTATAACTCACTCTTATTGGAACTCATAGAATTATAATTAGAACTCATACAAAAGTTTAAATTATTAATTTAAAAATAAATAATAAAATATTTTAAATAAAACTCTCTGTTATTTTCAAATAGTAATTTTTTGCAATAGTTGCTTAAAACAACACCGAAAATTTTCTAAAAGTTGAGAAAATAACTCGACATAAATTACATTTAACTAAAAAAATCGTTTGTCATAAATTTCAATTAACATAAGTTTCATTTGACATAAAATTCATTTGACATAAACTTTATTTATCATAAATGCGCCATTTCATATAAAATTCATTTGATATAAATTTTATTGTTACCTAAAATTTATTTGGCATACATTTCATTTGACATCATATGACATTTTTTTTGACATAAGTTTCATTTGACATAAAAATTACTTGACATAAATTTTATTTGACAATAAATTCATTTTTATGTCAAATGTAATTTCTATGTCAAGTAATTTCAATGTCAAATTAAATTTATATTAAAATGCCTTTCATGTCAAGTGAATTTTATACCAAATTAAATTTATATCAAACTGAAATTATAGAGAAGAATGAAATTTGTCTCAAATGAGTTTTATATTAAACTAATTTTATGTTGAATGAAATTTACATCAAGTAGATTTTATGTCAAATGGAAATTATGTTAAATGTCTTTTATGTCGAATGAAATTTATCATGTTAAATGTGTTTTATGTCCAATGAAATTTACCGTGTTAAATGAATTTTATGCCAATAAATATTTACGCCAAATGAATTTTATATGCGTTGAAAATTACGTCAAAAGAAATTTATGTTTCAATCATTTTTATTGTAAATTTTTATTATAAATTTTATTCTAAAACATGAAGATATCAATCACTCCGAGTCTTCGCTTTCTTCCTGTTTTATAATAATTAAAACTTGCTACTTTGTTACCGTAACTTTTTCAAAAATTATTTTATCATTACGATTATTCATTTCTAGAATTTTCAACTAAAATTCTTCAATTTTTTTAAAATAAGTTTTGAAAAAGTTCTTTGTGAATTTTCAAATTCTTTTGTTTACAAATTAATTTTAAGAAATTTCGATTATTCTGAAATTCTTCAATTAAATATATTCGAAATTAAAAACATCAAATAATTTTAAAAAATTCCGTTAAACTTATTGAGAAAAATTAATTCTATAGAATTTTTAATTAAAAGTATGAAAAGTTCAAATTTTCAAAGATTTTAATTTGAAATTCATTTTTAAATCAATATTTATTAGAAAAATCTACAAGAATTCAATTATTTAACTATAAAATTAAATATTTTATTAAACAATTGAGTGTTTCTTAAAATTGAATTTTCATAAAGAATTTTATCAACAAATTTTTAAATAATTGAATTCTCTTGACAAATTTTAATAAAATTTTTAAAAATAATTGCATTTTTCGAGAAATTTCATAAAAATTGTATTAAAAATAATTGTAATTCTGTCAAGAATTTTATTAAAAGTTTTGAAAATAATTGAATTTTGGAGAAAAATGTTATTATTTATAAAGATAATTGAAATTTTGACGAAAATTTTTGTAAATTTTAAAACCTAATTGAATTTCTGCGAAGAATTTTATTAAAATTATTTTGAAAAAAATTGAATTGCTACGCAAAGAATTGCATTAAATAAAATAATTAATTTGTAAATAATTGAATTCCTGTGAAATTTTTATTATTCATGAAAATAATTAAATGTTTGCGTAGAATTTTATTAACATTTTTTTTAACTAATTAATTCTTTTAGGAATTTTTATTAAAGTAGTAGATATTAAAAAACATTAAATTGAGGAAAGTTTTTGAAAATAATTAAAAGTTTGTCAAGAATTTTTAATTAATCTAGTTAAATATACCTATTAAAAAATTTAACTAATTTCAGAAGAATTTTATTTTTAAAATTTTTGTTTAAATCTAAGTTTTTTTATATTTCTAATTAAATTCATTTAAAATTGAAATTTTACAAAATTTTAAATCAAAATCTTTTAAAGTTCATCTACTTATGAAAATTGTAAACGCAATTCTTAGCGTTGACACTAAGAGTCAAAAGAAATTTCTTCCTCTGAAATCGAAATCATTTAATGTTTTTCAAAGTTGTTAAATTTACAAAGTTCTGTAAATTTTTTTATTAAATTCTGATGAAAATGAATAAAAGTAAATTAGTGATACTTCTATCTCTAAAAACCCCAAATAACAGTTTTCAACGCTAATCGTCAGGGTTATCTTATATTTTTGGGAATTTTTCTAAAAATTTAATTCTGGCTTTTGAATATAAACAAAAACAACTTAAAAAAAAAGATGAAGATAAAGATGACAAAGAAGAAGAAGAAGAAGAAGAAGAAGAAGAAAAGAAGAAGAGTGAGAAAAGTGGAGAGAATGCGAGAGATAGTTTCGCACAGGAGTGATCTCCCCCTCTTATTCGTTCCACTGGGTCCGGTCAGGATTGGGCCCTTTCTTAGGTACACTCACTGCAGAAGCTTTATTCACGGGTTACTGATACCAAAATGCATTTTACACTCGCACATACATATATATATATGAGAATTCAACTCATCTTAAAACTTGAAAAGTTAAAACGAATGCCATACTGTCTTTCTTTGAGAATATAGGACCCAGAGTCTGGCCTCGGAGAAGCGAAGCCTTTACTTTGATGTAACCCCCCTCCAACTGTCTCTCTCGACCAGTACAGTATCGTCTCGCGTACGTTGGTGAAAACCACTGTTGGTAAGACTGCTGTCAGTAAGTCTCTCACAGTCTTGCTATCCTTTCTCGTCTACTGGTCCGGTTACATTTCATTCTTCATAATTCTAACTCAATTTTATCTTAGACTATCGTTCCGTTTTTTTTATCACGTCTAGCCAACGTCTCTGTTTCTCTCTCTCTCTCTTCTCTCTCTGTCTTCTTTTTTTTTTTTTCTTTTTCTTTCTCGTTACTCTTATAATCGCGAGTGTTGGTGATTTTTGCATTGGTACCACTAAAATGTGTACGAAGAGGGTTTATCATTGAAAATTCAGGTATATAATAAAATTTACTAATTTTGTATTTTTAAATTGGTGGTAATGAATTTAGGATAATTTTTATTGTTATAATTTTTGTTAATTGATAATTTAAAACTTCGTTTGGTGTTTTTCTTTTACTTTTTGCATTTATTTGATTAAAAAATTTAAGTAGTAAAAGAAAAAGTACCTTAGACTCGAGGGGATATTTATCTGATTAAAAAATCAAATAAACAATGGTTAGAAACATTGTATATAAATTATAATTTAATTATTAATAAAGCAAGAACGAAAAAAATAGTTTTCTCGAAGTTCAATAAATGTTTATTTTATTTTAATTAAATTGTTTTTGGTTTAAATAAAATGAAGTAGGTTCTAGTAAATTGAAAATGGTTCAAGTAATTTGTATTTGATTCAACTAAATTCTTTTTGGTGCTGATAAATTTTATTTGATCCAAATTAATTCTATTTGGTTCTAATAAATTTTATTTGGCCCCAATTAATTCTTTTTGATTCTAATAAACTTAATTTGGTCCAATTTAATTCCTTTTGGTTGTAATAAATTTTATTTGGTCGAAATTAATTCTTTTTGGTTCTAATAAACTTAATTTGGTCCAAATTAATTCCTTTTGGTTGTAATAAATTTTATTTGGTCGAAATTAATTCTTTTTGGTTCTGATAAATTTTATTTGCTCCAAATTAAATCTTTTTGGTTCTAATAAATTTAAGTTTGTCCCAATTAGTTATATTTCATTTTAATAAATTTTATTTGGATTTGGTTAAAAGTAGCTCTATTTGTTTCGAAATTAATCCTATTTAATTAAAATAATTCTATTTTTTATTTTTATTAATTTTTATTATTTTTGAAACAATTAAATAATTCTGTAACAATGTATATTTTTATTTCACTCAAATGAATTATGTTGAATTCAAGTGAAACATTTCTCCGGGTAATCATTATTATCATTTATTATCTGTTTGTTTAATTATAATTTACTAATTAATCTCAACATTATAAATTACATTGACATAAAATAGCACAATAAATTACAGTCACTTGAAATATAAACTAAATTTAGGACACGAAAAATGTTATTTAAAATATAACAACAATAGTAACAATTATAACAATCGTAAAAGAAATATAGTAATAAAAAATAGTAATAAGAGAAACGTTATAAAAGTCTATTACAATTTCAAGTGAAATTTTTTAATATAATTATGATAAATTTTTGACAATAAGACAAAGTAATTGAATAATTATTATTGAAAGAGTAATAATATTTTATGTGAGATATCTTTGTCAAAATACAAGTCCACAGGTGCAGGAGACTCATTTTACGCAGTAAAAATTGCGATTCAATGATTATGATAACTATCACAATTATTATTTTCCTTTCTAATTTTTTTTTTTGGCTAAAATTTATAATAAAAATAAAGAAATTAAAATGAAGTTGTAAGAAAACGGGGTTTTCGAGAAATACATTGACTTTAATCGTATAATATAAATTATATAAAGTTCAAGTTTTCCATGATTTATTTAACGTGTCGATTAGCATAATAAAAATTAATTTTCCTCAGAGTACAGTTGTTAAAATAATTTATGATGTTGAGACTTTATTGAAATATGATCAGTGATTTCTAAACGTGCGCTTCCTCGATCATATATGTATATATACACACCATAGCACTTTGTTGTGCGGCGAGTCGTGCGTGAAAGTGCATTTTATTGGGTGTGCAATTCTTTTTTTTTTACCATTTTTTTTTCTCCGCGATACATTGATGTGCAACAGGGAAACGCGATTTTCGTCTCGGAACTAGAAAACCGGATTGTGCGCGCGAATTTAAATATACAAACATTTTAAAAGGCAGTTATAATTTCAAGTGACATTTTTTTAATATATAAAATATTCAAGAAAATAATAAAATTTTTTTCAGTTTGACTGTTTTTGTTTCTTTTTCTAAAATGACAAATTCAGTCAAATAAAAATTTAGTTAACAATTTTTCCTAATTGCTATTTAATATTTAATATTATGTAATTTTTTAACTAATTTATTTTTTGATTAATATAAATCTAATAAATAAATAAAATATTTTAAAAATCTATATTAATTATCTTCTACTTGCAGATCTATAAATATAATGTACAATAAATGCAAATATAAACAATAAGTACCTAAATAAATAAAATTGTATTCTTTACAATTGGACAAATTTTAACAATTGTTTTCTAAATATTAATAAATGTTGAGTAGACTGAAAAAATTTTACGTTATTTTTACCAAGAAAAATGGAAATTAGATGCGATTACGCGTGTAATATTACACCACATATGAAGTCGTAACTGGAAAAAAAATTTGCTTTTGTGGCAAAAAATTGCAAAACATTTTTTTTTCTTTTTTTTTTGAAGAAATAATGTTATGAGAATTTTGCATATTAATTTGAAATAATTAAATGTTTTCTTTAATATAATCTTTAGATTATATTCATAAAAATATTCATACATAAATTCTCTTTCAATTTTCAACTGAGGAATGATATTATTTACTCAAGATAAGAAAAAGAGATTCTGAAAACGAACCTTTTTAATTGAAGATACAATAATGCAGTCCAAATGATTTTTCAACATTGATAACGAAACCATAGTTCGCGAATTATTTAAAAATTAAAATTTCTCCTTTTTCCCACTTTTAATATTAAAAAAAAAAATAATTCCCGGTTTAATGCATCTCACTTCTAAAATTTTCCTCATTGGAATTGATTTTTTTTAAATAACTTGTTAAAAGCTAATTAAATTCTTTATCAACTTTTATTTATTTCCTTATATGTGTACTTTTTAGGGAAACAAATTTTTTTAATTAAAAGAAGCTTTTAATTGAAAAAAAATTGTAATTTTTGTAATCTATATTTTAATTTTTAAAGCACTATTTCGTATATCAATTTTAACGAATCTGCTTTATTTATACTTAAATGATATGATTATATTATTCTCGTTTATTAATCTTTTATTGAAATAAAAAAAACAATGACTTGTAGTTTCTTTTCAAGGTAATATTAATATTTAATATGTTTTAAAAATAATAAAGGAGTCAATTATAACGGACAATAATATTCTTTTGGTTCATGAAGATTATATGTATATATACGTAATGTATATAAAAGAAGAGTGAAATAAATTCTTTTACCGTTAATTAACTCATCGACTTTCCGAGGCACATTGCCTGTCCGCTGCGACTAATATTGGCACATGTTGTTGGGTTTGCACAGGTGCATGATTTTATTTCAAAAATTTGTCAGTAAAATAATAAGCCTATTATTCACTTACTCTGCATTCCACAAATAATTTATTCTTTAAAAAAAAATACTTGATTCTTTTCTCGCTCATATTTTTAATTTTTTAATTTTATTTCTTATAAAACGACTTAAATTAATTAAAGTTTATTAATTAATTAAATTTGACATGAAAGTCATTTCACGTAATTCTCATTTGAGATAAAATTCACTTGACATAAAATTCATTTAACATGAATTTCATTTGACATAAAATTCATTTAACATGAATTTCATTTGACATAAAATTCATTTAACAATAAATTTCATTTGACATAAAAATATCGGCGCGATATTTAAAAGTAACCAATTAGATGGTATCAAGAAAATTGAGATTGGACAGTTAAAAAATCGGCACCTATATTTATATTTGTTAAATGATCTTTATGCCAAATAAAATTTATATCAAGTGAATTTTATGCCAAATGAGAATTATGTTAAATGACTTTCATGACTAATGAAATTTTTGTCAAATGAGTTTTACACCAAATGAAATTTATGTTAAATAAACTGTTATGTTAAACTAATTTTATGTCAAATGAAATTTACATCAAGTGGCGCTTATGTCAAATGGAAATTTCGTTAAATGTGTTTTATGTCCAATGAAATTTATGTCAAAATGAATTTTTTGTTAAATGAAATTTAACCAATTAATGACAAAAATATAACCAGTCCGAGCCAAATAAGAGAAAATTTTACTTAAAATTAAAAATTAAATTTTTCATAATTATAAAACATGAAGAAATCGATAATTCCGAGTCTTCGACTCGGAGTGATCGATTTCTTCATGTATTATAATAATTGAAGATGACCGAGTGATAAAATCATTATCAATTTAATTATTATTTTCAAGCATTTTTAACTAAAATTCTTCTTTTAGTTTAAATCGATTATTTTTAATAATTTTTGAAAAAGGTCTTTGACAATTTTCAAATCCATTTGTTTACAATATTCAATTGAATAATTGAATGTTTCTTAAAATTCAATTCCCATAAAGAATCGTTATTAACAAATTTTCAAATAGTTGAATTCAATCATCGAATTTTAATATAATTTTTAAGATTAATTACATTTTTTTCGAGAAATTCGATTAAAATTTTCTTAAAAATAATTAAAATTCTGCAATGAGTTTTATTATTTGTGAAAATAATTGAATCCCTAAGAAGAATTTTATTACTTCTGAATAATATTCAATTAACTTTTACATAATTGAATTTTTTTTCGTGTTTTTAACTTCAAATTTTCAAAGATTTTTATCTAAAACCTTTTCAAAATTCAATTATTTCAAAAAATTTCTAAAAGTTGAACTGAAATCCATTTTTAAATCAATGTTTATGAGAAAATTCTACTAGAATTCAATTATTTAAATACAAAATAACAATTCATTGAATAATTGCATGTTTCTTAAAATTGAAATCTCATAAAGAATTTTATCTATAAAATTTTTTAATAACTGAATTCTTTTGACGAATTTAAAATAAAATTTTTAAGAATTTTTTCGAAGAATTCGATTAAAATTATTGTACTAAAAATAATTGAAATTCTGCAATGAGTTTTATTATTTATGAAAATCATTGAATGCAACGAATTTTATTAAAATTTTAAAAAATAATTGAATTCTTACGTAGAACTTTATTAATTTTTTTTTAAATTATTGAATTCTAGCGAAGAATTTTATAAAAATCAT